TTGGAATTAGGAATTCAGAGGTCTTACCTAATTTAAAGGCTCCTTGCGTTTGAAAAATGAATATATCGGCCTTGATCCTTTTTTGGTTGTAGAACAAGTTGCAGTTGTCAAAGAGGATGATGGAATYAAATCAGGAAACTGCTTCGTGATGTAGTTTTGAAATGCCATGTTCTTGCATCTGCACAAGACCTACAAGTACTGAAGCTGTGCAGTACCGTTTAGGATTGCATCACAAGAAACATTCTTGGACCTGCACTGTGCGTGAGGTACTTGATTTTGTATGGCCTAATTGAGGTAAAGAAGGCAAATTGAACAAATTGAGGAAAAGTATCACCTGCAAATTTTGCCTCTAAAGCAACACTGGCAAGCAAGTCAAGGGCCCAAAGCAGGAAGCAACAAACGGCCGTCTTTGAATACGTGGAAGTTTCCACAAGCATCGCAGATTCTTTCTCTATCTGTAAAAAAATTCTGACTACTTGGAAAAGTGCCGTGCTGGTATACCTGGAATGAAGGATTACCTGGAAAACATGATGTAAGTGTTTCGCAAACTTTTCAAAGAAGTGAGGAATTTCAAAAAGTGTCTCCACCTTGTCATTTTCAGTATTACTTTTTCCTCAACTATAGGATTTGCTTTTTATAACAGGATGATAATCATTTTCGTTTAGTGATGGGGAATCTATCCATTCATTGAACAATTCTTTGTCTGTCATTTGTCAGTTGCAGATGGTGTAGTGTCTATCTGAATGTTATTGAGAGGCAGTCCACCACACTATGCACTTAAAGTCTCAAAGAGATAATTCTCCAGTTGACCAGGCAAATCGATTTCAGTGGTGCTGGGTGTCAAAATCGGCATCAGATAAACTCATCAAAGTTATGGGATGAAGGAGAGTCAATTATTCCATCATTCAATTCCCAATCCTTGTTAATATTTTGAATCAAAAAGGTGTTTTTTACTGAGAAAATGAGAAAATACGGAGTGAAATATGATTATGACAAAATGGAACCTGCTGTCAAAAACGGTTGTTAATAGATAGTCAAATTAGCTATTCAGAAATGTCCAATGCAAAAAAGAGAGAATTAATTCACAAACAATAAATAAAGCGCCAATTAATCAATCCTACTAAAAAGAAAACATTACCAATCAATGGACAAAATTAAAAAGAACAAATTACTAAGACAGAAAAGAGAAAACWACCATTCCATGGACTTAACTAAAAAGACTGAATTACTAAGGAAGACACAACAAAAAATACAATCACTGGACTCAACTAAAAAAAATGAATTATTGAGTGAGAGACGAGAAAATTATCAATCAATGGATTTGACTAAAAAGAATAATTTACTAAAGAAGAGACAAGAAAATTGCCAATCAATGGACTCAACTAAAAAAGCAACTAACTGTTAACTAAGCTCAGTTACAATTACAAATCAATTGATRCGGCTAGAAAGGCTCAATTACAACACCAGAGAAAAAATAGAAAAGAAAATAACAAATGCAAAATGTCATCAATTGAATCATGCATTTCACAATTTAATATCAAAATAAGAGAAGGACCTTTTTTCATATGCAATMTATGCCATCGACWACTATARAAGAAATCAGTCAAACTATGCAATGTGAACAAGTACTCTTGTCAAGCATATTTCAACAGAAAACAGTCATATGACAGGAAAGAGTATATATGTAAGACATGTCACTCAAAAGTCATAAAAGGAAAATTACCATGTCAGGCTGTATGTAATGGCATGAATGTAGATGAAATACCGCCACAATTAGCTTCCCTTGAAAAACTAGAACAAATATTAATAGCTCAACGTATAGTTTTTCAGAAAATAATTATAATGCCAAAAGGACAACAAAGAAAAATTAAAGGTGCAATATGTAATGTTCCAGTTGAATGTGACCAGACATGTAACCAATTGCCCCGTGCACCTGAGAGATCTGGTATCATAATGTTAAAACTGAAGAGAAAGTTGCAGTTTAGAGCACATGTTTACTTTCAAGCAGTTCGACCGGAATTGTTGCAAGAAGCTCTTTCTTGGCTAAAAGCAAACAATCTGCTATACAAAGATATTGTAGTTGATATAAACAATATTGATAATACGCTAATAACATTACAATATGATGACACAAATCAACGAGCCAGTACAAACAATATTACAACAGATAGTGATCCTAAACAGCAAAATGATATAACAGAAGACAACCTGTCAAGCGAAAATATTGTGGAAGAAAGTAGACTGAACAATGATGAAGAAGACGGTGATCCTCTTAATGAGCACAGATCAGCAGTGCATGAGACATGTTTACAGTCTGTTATACCCAGCTACCCTACTAATAACAATAGCCAGTCAACTGGGAGTGAAATATTTCATGTAGCACCTGGAGAAAACAAACATCCTGTTTCATTAATGCTGGATAAACAATGTGAAGAGCTTGCATTTCCAGTACTGTTTCCTAAAGGCAGATATGGATATACAACAGAAAGGAAAAACTCAGATCTCTCCTGTTAAGTATTTCAATGCAGTATTTCTATTTCATTATAGTGCAAGATTTGCAACAAATCCAGAATATCTGTTTTTTTGCACAATATATCATTGAACAGAAGAAAGTATCAGATAGTATAAACATTGCTCTGAAGAAAGTTCATGGTCAATCAGTTACTGCTTCTCAATTAAGGGACAGCCCTCAGAGATTAACAAACCTCATTTGTCAGGATCAAGCATACTTATTTCTAAGGCAAATACCAGGTACACCACCATACTGGCAAAAGTTTATGTATYAKGTAATTGCAATGGTCAAGCAACTTGGGATTCCAACTTGGTTTATGACACTHTCWTGTGCTGATCTTCGATGGCCTGAGCTATTTCAGATATTAGCAAGAATACAAGGTAACAACCTTACAGATGAACAGGTTGATGCACTGTCTTACAATGAAAGATGCCAAATGCTTAACCTTAACCCTGTTGTAGTAGCTAAACATTTCCAATACAGAGTAGAAACATTCTTTACTGAAGTGTTACTCACAGAAGCTAAACCAATTGGTAAAATAGTTTATTATGCCCTTCGTATTGAAT